AAATAAATAAATAAATAAATAAATAAATCGACTTTATTTTACGAGGGTAACACGTGACAGTAAAGAACTGATGAACTTGTGGCCCTCACACTCACACTCACTACCTCTACATTAATTATTTTAGCACACAACACTCCTCACATGTTGATTTTTACTGAGGGAGGAAAACCGGAGGACCCGGAGAAAAACCCTCGTGGCAAGGGAGAGAACAACACATCAAACAAACTCAAACTCACATATGGTCCGTGCCCAGGAATCGAACCCGGACCACAGCGGTGAGAGGCAAGCAGATTAACCACTAGGCCACCCATGCCACCCTTGCTGATTCTCTGTGAACTGATTTCATATAAAGTAAACAATTGAATGGTGAAATATTTCTGCATTTCAGTGTTGCGTCTTTGAGTTTTGAAGGTTTAATCTTCCAATATGCTAATGATAATGACGTCAAGGGAGGCTTCATTAGATATACGAACTTTGAAAAAGTCACTCTAAAATGTTATCATGAGCGCCATCTGGTAATATGGTTATTCCCTACATTGCATACGATAAATTTAATGCCATGAAWYYATTTTTAAGMGACTACTGCAAAGTTCGTATATCTAATGAAGCCTTCTTTGACGTCATTTTCATTAACATATTGTAAGATTGAACCCTCATAGCTCAAAGACACAACACTGAAATGCAGGAATACAGTCAACTCTCTCGTAAGCGACCACCTCGGGATCAGGAAAAAGTGGTCGGTTACGGGAGATGGTCGCTTACGAGAGTGGTCGTTCAAAGAGAGTTAACTGCATTTCACCATTTAATTATTTCCTTTAATATAGAATTGGCTCACAGAAAATCAGCAATTATTGTGCCAGGCGTCATAGGCACTTAAAACTCTTATACTACTTTTAGGAGTATCAAAGGTGTAATACTCACACATCCGTTCCGTTATCGTTTACACAGCGAGCCTTATAGTGACAACGTAGAGATGGTGACCCAACACAGCTCTGATCAGTGATGTCACAATTATCACCATGGTAACCAGCCTGGCAAGAGTTAGGTTTGCATGTACCGTTACCCTGGATACCATTATCACAAGATCCGTGGACACAGGTACAGGCTGTTGAGGAAAAAGAGTTTAACATTATAATTTGTTTGATATTTTGATTTTCAAAGGGTGAAGCTTTTCCTCCCGCTGGTGGGTGGGAACTAGCGGTAAACTAGTGTGAGCTGCGTCGGTGTTTCTAAAGAAAAAGTTGTGTAAAAAGATAAATTTAACACCGTAAAAAAGTAGGTGGAATAACTTAGTGACGTTTCGGACGTTAATCCTTCGTCGTCTTAATACATACATACGCTGGCTCAACACATACAACGAATTAGATTTAGCATATTTTACTCAAAATTTCAAGTAACTTCGAGTATAGCCAACTGAATGCTATCAACAAGGTCTGCTAACCGTCTTCTACCTAATATATGAAGGCGGGGTCATGGCGTGCGTAGGAAGCAAGGTGTTCCGGAATACCCCCTCCCCTCAACCCCAACTTCACCTCCCTTAGCAGGCAAAATCGTTGAAGTATAAGACACTTGTCAAATCAATAGAGAACACTTTTTCGAATAGTGTAACACTGTGTTCGGTGCGAATCGAACACAATACTCGTGCAATATTGAAGCCATTCATCTTCGTCTTTAAACACCAGAAAACTCCGTCATGAGACATAATTGTATTGATAAAAATATGAATATGGAGAATTATTGGTTAATAAAAATAAACTATGGATAACAGGCATTATACCAAACAGACGCAAGGCACGATAAGGGGGAAGAATCATTAGCAGCAATTGATCTCAATTATCACTAAATAAGCTATTAATCATAAATATCCCGAGTGTTTACCGTGCTTTGTTTGTTGTAGTAGTTGTGGTTGTGGTTGCTGTTGTTTCTGTTGTTGTTGTTTGTTTTGTTGTTGTTGACGTTTTGGGAAGAATCATTAGCAGCAATTGATCTCAATTATCACTAAATAAGCTATTAATCATAAATATCCCGAGTGTTTACCGTGCTTTGTTTGTTGTAGTAGTTGTGGTTGTGGTTGCTGTTGTTTCTGTTGTTGTTGTTTGTTTTGTTGTTGTTGACGTTTTGTTGTTTTTGCTGTCGCTGTCTGCTTTGCTGTCGTTGTTGTTTTTGCTGTTGTTGTTGACGTTTTGTTGTTGTTGTTGCTGTCGTTGTCCGTTTTGTTGTTGACGTTGTGTTGCTGTTGTCTTTACTTACTCTTATTACAGCTGGAGCCAAACATCGTAGCGTTGGAACACTTTTCACAAGCAAAACCAGTGAACAAAGGTTCGCACTTGCAGACACCAGTACCTTTGATTCTGTCATGACACTAAAAATGTACAACTCTCGTTAGATTGGCATATATAGTGTTAATTAACACTAAAAATGTACAACTCTCGTTAGATTGGCACATATAGTGTTATCAACACTAAAAATGTACAACTCTCGTTA